CATATATATATGTAACTATTTTAAATTATTAATAAAGATATAAGCAAGGCCTTACCTTAATACCAAAAAAAAAAAAAATAATAATTTAACTTTTATTAACTTAATTCACTTTTTATTATATATTCAAAATTAAAGAAGATTAATTTCTTTAAGGTGTATTGTTTTTGTTATTAGCAAAAAAGATGATAAAGCATACTGGTTTTCAATTTCCAAATTATTACAAGATAATTTATAGCTCAACAAGCTGAGTTAGTTGAAAAATTTTCTTTAGTATGAAATATTCAGTAATTTAACTTTTATAAATTTACTTACTTATTATCTATATTTTATTTAAATCTAGAAATAGTTAACTTTTTAAACATCTTAGTTTTCTTTTAAAAAATTAGTTTAAAATTCTTATATTATCAAACACTCAAACTAAAGATCATAAAGTTTCAAAATTAAGACATATGTCTTATAAAAAATATATTCTGTATCAGAAGTAATTAATGCTAAAAGCAGGAAGCTGTTCTAATATTTAATAAAAGTAGCTTCTAAGATTTTTAAAGGAACTGAATTCAAAAATTAATCTGAAATCTAATTTTTATACAGTTTTTATATGATTTAATGATTGAATCTTTGCTGATCCTTAAAGAACTGAACTAAACTGACTAGGATTCGATTTCAAAGAACTGATTAACATCTTTAGTACAAAGTAAAACATAAACTTAAGAACAAAAATACAGATGATATATTCTTTCTTTAATGTTCTTGTTACATATTTATATTATTATCATTAAATAATAGTACTGTATGATTTTCAAATAAAGTTACTAATTTACTTAGTATTGGAATATATTGAATTTAAATATACAAATTTGATTATTTGTATCATTTAAGGTTTTTATATGGGCCAATCTTAATGGAAATGTAAAAGCTATGTACTGTTATACATATATTAGTTATGTCATATCATGTACTAATTTTCTTATAGAATAAATATTGTTATAATTAATGAATGTAATAATCAATATTTGTATTCAGCTAAATTGTATAAATAGCCTTAGCATTCCTTTGGAAATCATCACTCTCCATTCAATACAATACAATACAATAAAAGAGTAATTATGTCTACATATATGAATAACTCAAATAAATTACACATAACCAATACAACTATAGTTGGAGTGAAATTCATTTTCAATTTATTTATTTAATTTCAACAATAATTTGATTAAACCTAAAACTATTGTATTCGATTTAGTTTAATTTTAATTAATTTTGACATAATTTAAAATTAATTTTTAATATTAAAAAACTAATTTCACCAATTTCATCATCAAATAATTTCAACAATTTCAACAAAAACATTTTATTAAGGGTAATTTCACTCCCATCTATAAAAATGACTACTTATATCTTCATATACATTTAAGCATTTGCCTCTTTTGTAATTGCAAGTCACTGTAAAACCTTTTTATTTTAAAACATTATTGTTAGTCTTTATTTTCATATAAAAGATGTCACAAGGCATTTACTCATTATCACCTCTAGTTATACTGAACTCATAGAAGAGGTAGTTTGAGTGTAACAGTACTGTTACCCCGAAACTACCTCTTATAAGTCCTGTATAACGATTTTACTTTGGTGACGGGTAGGTTAAGTAATTAAATAACAATGCCGTTTATGCTTAAGTAAAATATAGGGTTTTATTGCGGTTACGCTTTTAAGAGGATTGGGCAACAGCTAAATGTATATGAAGTCGTATAATAAGTTTATTACTATACTCAAAGTTATTCGTGCATGGAGACACTATAGCTATTTACTAATTTATGGGTTATTCGAGTTATCCGTGTATGAAGACATGATTACTCTCTGGGGAATTAATCTATCGTTTATTTAATAAAGTATTCAAGTTGTTCGTGTATGAAGACATGACTTTTTATCAATTGGTTAACCAATTGACAAACATGACCGTGCATTATCTCGTGAGATGAACACAATGGTAACAAAATTATTTTTAAACAACTTATATATTAAAAGTTATTTGATCTCAAAGTTTTAAAAAAACCAAACCCTAATGTCAATTCAAAAATCGGAGCTCGATTCCTTATCACGGGTTCCTAAAATCGGCCAATTAGATTGCCTTAAGCAGACGGGTTTTAATAGTATAGATACTAAATCACACAATGTATGAACCAGGAAATCAATTACCGTATTTCGCGGGCCAAACCACCCCCTCCCTGTAAAATAATTATCGGATAATATGGATATTTTGATGGTGCATGCGGATGCATAATATATTTGTTATGTCTACTACGTACCAGCGATTGGTTTTCTATACAGTAGTGATAAAACAACATACAAGTTATTAATTTGATATGCACCATGGAAATATACAGGGGAGGGGTGGTTTGATCCGCGAAATACGGTAAATTTAATTTTTGTTATACGTCATACAATTAAAATCAATTAAATTTAATTGACCCAATTAATGACGAAATAATTGCAATTAATTGAATTAATTACCATTTGCCACATGGTTGCGATGAATCATTGTTCCGGAGGACGCTTAATTACTATGCAAAGTGATACAAAAGGTACGTTTTTGATGCCTTCAAAGTATCGTTCCTGATTTATCCATAATAAGAATATCAAAAACGTAACTTTGAATTTTCCGTCTGTATATTCGTATAACTGATAACACGACAAATCTCATACGGTTCCGTTTTTCTAATTATATGTGACAAATAAGGATTTACTAATCAAACGTATTAGTGAACTCACGCAAATAATTCATCACACTAAAAATTGCAATTAATTGACTCATTGTAACTGCGCCACCAATCAATTTAAAAAAATTGTCTCACAATCAATTATTTGGTAGGCCTGGTATGAACATTCATGAACACGAACAAATCAAAGAAATCTAACGTAACAACACTGTTTATAGGTAATAAGAACGTTTAAAACTTTTATATGGTTTTAATAACCCATAATAAACGTAAAATATAAAATACATTTGATTAATATTGATATTTCATAGTATTATATAAATTGTCCAATTGATTAGTTGGTTAAGTACATCAATTTTATATCCAACCAGTTGCGACTACGTAATAATTGATTATTGACAACTCTGGAGATGTGAGAATCGGAAATTAGATTTTAAGAAATTTACCGATTTCAAATAAATATATATTAATATAAATATAACTGATCGAAAATATAATAAATAAAACAGTCCAAAAATCATTATGTAATATCAAAAAAGAAAATCACTTAATTGATAGATGATTTCTGATTTCTTAAATTACATATTTCATATTCGGATATTCGAAGTCGTTTTAAGAAATCAGTAATCACCTATCAATCTTTTTTTATGATCTACAGATTTTATTGTATGTAATGTAGCTAATCGATCAATTAGTTGAAACTACTGTAATTAATTTTTCAATCGAAATCGTTTAGTTTAACATCTAAAAGAGTTTAATCGACTAGTTATCAAACAATTTTGTCAATTTTTGATTTACAATACTAAGTCCTATAGCATTTGGTTATGATAATAAACCCGAGCTTTTCCTAAATGTGAAAAAGTTCTCCCATGTTGATGAAACAATGGTTTGATCTGTTCTGATCTGGTCTGATCTGCAGTAACGATAAACCATACAAACGAACTTGTGTGACACCGTCAAAATATAAGCTGCACATTCAATAAATATATTACGAACCAAATTTTCTCAATTAATGTTGTATTTAAATTTAGGTTTTCAAAAAAAATTGACAAGTAGGTAAATCCAAAGATCTTTCATTAACTTAGACCCGTCCCGCCGATTTACCGAAAACTTCCACTATTTCTGAAAACCTAAACCGTTGTTTGGTTTTGGTGCTTAATATTAAAGACCTTCGTTAAAAAATAACCATAATAGTAAAAAAAGTAATAGAAAATGGAGGAGCTAAACGTAACAACAATTTCTAAGTTGGCAACGTTAGGAGGTGAAGAATCAGATGAAGAATCGGATTTCATTCCGTCCTTTACAAAACCTACACGCCTTCCACCTTCACTGTCGACGCTGGACGTAGTAAATGAAAAAGTTGATTTACTAGAGGATAAAGAATGGCTAATTAGGAATAAGCGTAGATCATCGACCACTTCCACACTTCGAGATCAGTCAGAACATTTTAATGACCATAATCAGACCTTAGGAGGCAGAAGAGGAAGCTTGAAACTAAATAATGTTGATAAGATTATCAAAATGTGTGCTATGGCTTGTGCATGTACCTTTGGAATAGGGAGTCATTTTGTCTCTCATGTTATTGGACCTATGAAGGGAATATTAATGGAGGTATGTTATGTTATATTCTTAAGTCACTATTACGCCTTGATATTATATCTATAATATGAGCTTATTGATTTCTCTCGATTAAAATAGAAACTTAATCTTACAAACACTCAATTTTCACTATTAGTCGCATCGCTTACTTTATGTAATACTATAATTCCAATAGTTTCAGGGTTACTTGTAGCTAAATTTGGTACAACTCGAAGTTCTATTGTTGTAACTACCGTAATTTTAATTGGCACACTTATTGTAACAGCCGCAGCTTGGACTGGTAGAGTTGGATTAATGATCTTTGGGTTTATAATATTTGGGTGAGTTCTTGCTTTTTTTTATATATATATATATATTATCTTATTTTTGATATCCGGAAACGATAAGCTAAATGGGTGCCAACCAAATTTTTTATCATCTTAAAATGTGTAGCATGGGGTTGGCGCCTTTGACAATCGTCCAAGAAACAATCATTGTTCAGTTTTTTCAAGGGAATGGCTTGGGATTTGCTTTAGCTGCTGGTATGACATTGGGAAGATTAGTAAGTTTTATATAGTAGCTAGGGTTAATCTATATATGAATAACTCATTCAGTCAGATAAAAAACTTTCGTAAATCTATTTAAATCATTAATTACTATTAAGATTTTTATATAACTTTTATTTGTACATATTTATAACCATTTAGGCATCATTTCTCGCAACTGTATTGGCTGTACCATTGTCCATGGTGCCATCATTTGAATATCGTATGCCTTTCATTGTAGCCACATTTACATGCTTTTTATCTTGGATAATGAATATTATATATGTATGTCTTTTAAGGCATGCTAATAATAGAAATCGCTCAAAGGAAGGAGTTGCATTTTATCAAGTAGTTGAAAATAAAACAGTCCATTGGCATGCTATATTTACACTTTCCGACATCTTTTGGTGGTCATTAGTTGTAGGTGTTTTATTCGGTTCTTGCGTAATACCATTTCTTCATTTATCCAGGTAAATCTGATGATTATTTATTATCTAAGAAAAAAAATTTTTTTACCATTTAACACTTGTTATTCTTTATTTAATATAGTAATATAATAAAACATCGATATGATAAAACGGATTTATTGGCATCATGGGATGCATCTATAATCATGTTAATGCCAGTGATAATCTATCCTTTCTTGGGATTATTTTTGGATAAATATGGTCACCGACTGTCAATTTGTAAGTAAATTTTACTTAGCATTTATATAATTTAAATATTTATTAAGATTATTAATGTAATTTTACATCAATATTTAGTAATATTTGGCTCGTTGGCATTCTTATTTACTTTTTTACTATTATTGGCACCACCAAGCATTGTTCATCCGTTATCACCGATCCTTCTTTTTGCTATTGCCTACTCCATAGTCCCACTTACTATGGTTACTCTTATTCCATTGCTTACAAAGCATGTGTCCACTGGTCTTGGACTTCATAAAAGTGTAGACAATCTTGGTGCTACATTATGCCAAACAATAGCTGGTTTGTTGCTTGATGCACATGCAACGAAAAAGACATATATAATAGATGAAAATGGTGTTGAATTAGGTCATGAAGATGACGATTTAGTTGCGTTGAAGATGTTTACAGTTTTAAGTTTATTAGCTGTTGTGAGCTGTTGTTTATTTTGGTGGGCAGATAAAAAGTACAGAGCAGGGAGTCTCGACTCAATAAATACTGGTCACGATATTCATGATAATATGGATTACGGACAATTACGTGAAAATGATGAGGTAAATAGTGACGGGCGAATACTCTCAATGAGCATGATCGATCAAACTACCCTTTCAAAAACAGCAATATTAAAAAAAAAGAAAAGGACCACAATATATATGTGGATAATGGGCCTGATGCTTTCTATATGTTGGATTGTCTTTGGAGTGGTTGCTTATGAGAAGGCTGGAGTACATGCGACTGCCAATGTTAAATTAGATAGTGCAGTTGGTGGGGAATGAGGACCTAATACTTGAAAGGCTATAGGTTATTATGTGTATCTTAAAAAAAAAAAATTAGTTATTATTAATTGACTATATATTCTAACGAATAAATTGTAAAAAAAATTCCAATTTTGGCTAAAATTATAAATAAGCGACAAACTTTAACCTAATTAAGATCATATCACCACGATCTTTCATAACATATAACTAAATCCTTTGATTTGAAAAGTTTATCGCGTTCTTTTCATGTAAATAACACAATTAATAACTATACAAGGAAAAAAGAGATTTCTAATAAACAAATGAGAATAAAGAAAAATGATTTGCAAAATTAATCACTACTTCGATAACGATAATTAATTCTACATGCATGTACATACCCTTTTTAAATGTAATACGTACCATTTTTAATGCATGCATTGATCCAATCTTGAGTTTTTCTGCAGAACTTATAATTACGCAATTATTTACAATAACCACCCTGCAGAGATTTTCAATTCATTTTATAAATTCACCCCTAAAAATTTTACCAGGATGCATAAATCAAATTAAAATAAATTAAAATAATTTTCATTTTAATCTATCATGCAGGTTTAATGATAAATTTTTCCTATAAATTAAGTGATCGACACTCACGTTTATTGGCTATACTTGCCGCCTAAATCCCGGACCATGTATTATAGTTTGAGTTTGTCCATGCCAAAATCCCAAACCAAACTCTGGCCAAACTAATATCTTTATTAATAATCTTTATTTAAACAAATGATTTATATTTTTTAACTATCATAACCTTTGATTTAAATTTTTTATATATTTTTTGAATTTGGATTTTTTTATAACATAGATTTAATAGTAAATTCTTGAAAAGAATTCATGTAAAAAATGTGTACATGATAAATAATAAACTTGAGAAAAGATTTTTCCCAAGGATTATTCATTATTTCATATTCTAATATGAAGCTTTTGAAAGAAAAAAGTTTATAATATAAATTTATTGTTATTGCTTTTTTTTTTTATAACAAATTTTAAAATTTAAATTTATATACGTATTAGATATATTTTATTATATATACAGTATCATTTTTAACAAAAACAAAAAACTTTAAAAATGTAAAAATTATTATTTATATAAATTAAGACATACAGACACGTGTGATCGAATTTCAGTAACGATAATAAATATTTAAAATTAAGGCTTAATTATATTGAAAACATTTGATCGATTATTATTATATATTGCTATCTACAGTATCTGTTCGAGATTTTTAATAAATCTTCTAACCAAAATATAAATAAAAATAAATCTAGATAAAAAAAAAAAAAAAAAAATTATAATCGAATTGAGAACTTAAAATGAGGATTCATTTTTTATGAATTGTAATTATCTGATTTTATACAAATATTTATCTTCTTTACAATTAAATGTTTTATTACAGATTCGCAAAAATAAAATACTTAGGACCCTCATTAACCATCTCATTTCTAAATAAATAAATAAATAAAAATAAAATAGAAATAAAATATATATTTATATATATATATATTATTAATTGTTTAAATATATGATTATGTTTCACCGGAATGTGTATAATGTTGTTGTGATACCCCTGTATATGCTTCTTCGTCGTCGTCGCCGTCATCATCATACTCCTCCTCCGATGACGAAAACTCTTCACCTCCTCTAGATGGCATAGGCATAGTCATTGACCTAGTTGGTGTTCGTCTCAAACCTCCAGGTCCTTCTCTAACCAAAGGCGGGGATCTAAGGGAGTCTTCTTCAGTTATAACTTTTTCATGAATTCCATACTTTTCGCTTTCTGGTACTTCAAACACGACAGACGGGACATCATGTTTTTTTTGTACATGTGAGGTAACATCCGAAATACCACGTGTTGTATTTTTATGAGGATGAGGTTCTACGCGTGAGGAAGCAAGCATGAGAGGTTTTAATTTATTATCTCTTTTTTTTTTCTTTCGTTGGAAATTGAAATACAAAATCACGGCAACTCCAGCAATAAGACCAACTATAGCCACGACAATTATTATAATTACAATTGGAGAACTCGATTGTGATGTCGAGTCACTAGTATCAGTTGCAGTATTAGTAGATGACATATTTATCGTTTAATGAAATTCATGAATTTCCGTTTTTATTTTATTTTTTCTTTTTTTTTTTTGTGTCCTTGAACGCATAAAAAAAAAAAAGTTTTCTAAATGCAATCCTAAAGATTCTTTTAAAAATGATTTTCGATGCCTCTTTATATTGATATCCTATCTTTTTTTCTACGCAAATATATCAAACAGTGGCTTAGGTTATCAGAAAATAAGTAATTTAATATTTATTAGACAAGATCCGCTGGTCTTCGATCACAAAATCACACGTGGCTGTGTCAATACTTGAAATTGTCAAGAATATTAAGATCACCCTTGAAAATCTCATAGCCACCATGCATTTTTTAACCAGCGTTTTTTATAGGAATACTTGATTTGTCGAACCTTTTTTTTTCTATCCATTAAGAATCATTAATTTCGTAACGGTAAATTGGAAATCTTAGCGCTAGGTACATAGGTACGTACATACATACAGTACTTACGTACAGTACTGACATACGTACAGTACTTACGTACAGTACTGACATACGTACAGTACTTACATACGTAACGTGATGACATTTAATAAAGGTCAGGTGATCTTGAATAATTAGTATAAATTAGTATATTTTCTAATCTAATAATTAAATCAGAAGGAATTCTTAACACTCTTAGTAGCAGAAATGAGGTAAGCAGAAATGAGAAAGTAGGAAGACTAAACTAACATTCTGGTGGATTATTTATGTGTTGAATTTAATTATTCATATGAATTCTTTATTTAATAATCATAAAAACTTACATGTTTACACCAATATGAAATTTGCAAATTCCTTCATGAGTATGTCATAGCATACAATCTTGTTCACTAATCACAATCCCAGCATAACCAACAATAAACTTTAGGCAAGCGATGATCTAAAAATGCAAGCAATCCCCATTACAATAATAAATTGTTTAAGGAAAACTTGGTTTTACGCATTTACGAGAAAATAAATAAACTTTTCCTGATCGTGTTACATTACACCAAATTATGATTAACTATCGTTATTGATACGTATTACTGTACGTATTAACTGTTTGCTGTCGATCATTAAGTGCCAGAGATGGTTTTTTTTTCACACTATGGGAGTTTGATATCAAATTATAGTAATAATCACATGGTAGAAAATTATGAAATAGGGAAAAGAATTATCTGTCAACCTTCAATGAATTTCATGAAACAAACATAAACATTAGATGATTTAAGGAATTTTATTGAATACAACCAGAAATATCAATCATACAACTAACTATAGACAAAAACTAGTTAACTAAAATGTACAACACAATGAAAGCACATCAAGTAATGCTTAGAAAATGATTCTTGAGCGCCACACTAAATATATGGCTTTTTAAGTGATCACCATTTTTGTCATGTTACTTGCATATATTTAAACTGTTATTGTCGTTTGAAGATTTGATCTTTTTATACGTACATATTTTATCAAAATAAATAAATAAAATAAATATGTATATTAACAGAAGGCCATATATATGCAATTCACAAGAAAGTGCGCGCATTATAGAAAAAATACGTGATGTTGGCGAATACTGTAAACTTTAATATTTGTTAAAAATTTAGTTATAATATTAATAGGAACTTGATATTTTCACACCCATGTAGATCACTTTTCTTAAAAACTTTGATCGAAGATATCTCGACACACACTTACACTTAACAAAATTCGATGAGCTTTTTTTTTTATTTGAATACTATGGATTCACGAAATTCAAATAAAAAAAAGTTTATTAAATTTCATTAGATTGTTGTCAAGATATCTTTGATTTAAGTTATAAAATTTGTCATAACTTATGTTTTGATAGGCATTTAAAATTTTAAAACTTTGAAAATAACTTGACTCCTACATGATAAAATTCTATTGATTTTTTATTTAAATTCTGTAAATTAATAGAATTTAAATAAAAAAGTTAGTGGAATTCTATCAAGTTGTTAAAATATCTTTGATAAAAGTTTTAAATTTTTTTTTAAATATTAAAGTAATTTAAAAATTTTGATATTTATTAGATTAGATTTGTGAAAAGTAACTTATACTCATGTTATAATTTTGGTTACATTAATAAGAATACATATAATTATATATATTTATACAACTTTAGTTATTGTTTATTTTTAATTAATTTTCTATTATTATATACATCTAGTTTTTTTTAAAAAAAAAGAATTATCAAAAGCATGATGACATAGTAAAGTGATTAAGTTGTTACTTTCTAAGTGGCAGGTTTAGAGTTCAAATTTCAGTATTAACAAAAATTTAACAATTTTTTTTATATTATAATTAACTGTTTTTTGTTAATCAATTAGGATAGAATATCTATTATTTGTGTTATATTAGCATAACTAGAAAGTTATATAACATTTATACAATAGTTATACTACTGTATAAATAAATACAAACTGGTATTAAGTAATATAAACCTATAATAAGTTCTTATAATTATGTAAATTACAGAAACTAGCAAGATAAAACTTATTTAAAAAATTTAAGTAAAAAGGTAATTTAGAGTTTTAATAAGATTATTATATAAAAATTATACTTAGAAAATAGTACTAGAACTAAGAAGAATGGGAAGATGTTTTAAGAGAGCTTAAAACTGACACAGCTTCAGGAATATCAGACATAAGCTACATATTAATCAAGCATGCGAAAAAGAAAACACAGAAAATCTTTAAAACTTTCACAAACATTATTCTAGAAAAAGGAGAAATTCCAAAGAAGTGGAAGATAGTACAAGTATATCCAATCCCAAAAGATAAAGATTGGGAATATAGTTTAAATAACATTAGATCAATAGTACTGATTGAGACCTTTAAGAAAATAGTTACAAAAGTAGTAACAAAATGATTGGTCAAAATATTTACAAAAAAAGAAATACTAAAAGGACCCAATTACGCAAGTTTGTCAAGCAACTCAACAGAACAACCAATACATATATTGAACATGATAATAGAAGAAGTACAAGAAAAGAACAAAGAAGTATGGATACTCCTACAAGATATGAAAAAGGTTTTTGATTTAGTTTTACTAAAAAGCCTAGAATGGGTTCTTAAAAGAGTCAAATACTATAGAAAACAAAAGAATACATATTCAACCTCTTTTGTAAATAGCAACTTAAAGTTATTACAGCTTATGGCTTAACAGAAGAAATAATGGCAGGAGATGAAATAGACCAAGGAGAAGTAATCTTGCCTTTAATCTGGCATCTCTTTTATAACCCATTGTTGGAAAGAATTCAAGAAGACAAATATTAGACTATACAGTTAAACAGAAAATAGCAGAAGGAATATGCAACAACAATATAACAAAATATAGACAGACAGCAATAGCATATGCAGATGATACAACATGGATTGCTAGCAACAAGAAGCAGTTATTAAAAATCCTTAAAATTGCAGAAGAGTTCTTTATAGCCAATGATATCAAAATAAATAAGTTCAAATTAAAGCTAATAATAATGAACACTAAATGTAAAATAAAAGAAAAAAAATCATATTCAGTCGAAGTAAAATTATAGAAGAACCAAGAAACAAAATTGTAAGATCACTAGAAATCTGACTAAACAGTAGAATGAAAGAGTCATTAATTGGTAAAAAGGTGAAAGGAATAATTAATCAAACAGTCAAAGACTTAAGATACAAGAAAATGACAATAAGTCAGATCACATATAGAAATAATACAGTAATAATTTCTAAATTAGGTTATCTCTTACAACTAACAAAAATGTCAGAAAAAATAATCAATAAGATACATCAACCACTAATATGCCTAGCAAACACAAATGCAATATGATGAAAACAGTAAACAATTGCATAGTAGAGCATAAAGATTTAGGCAATTACAAATCACTAAGTCAAAAAATAATGACAAAGCAAATAAGTAGACTCTATTTATAACTTAATAAAAAGAACAGCTTAGGTGAGCTAACTAGACTTAGAATAACACAAGGGTGCCAGAATGCAAGGCTAACAAACAATATTTAGAATTACAAGAAAGAACTAGAAGAAAAGAAATTTTGGAGAAACAATTTAGCTGTCATACAATAGCTAAAGCAAAAAAGATAGGTATAACTATCAAAACTAAGAACATTTTATGGAAAGTGTATAGATACAGAAAACAAATAAGAGACATAATAGAAACTAAAACATGAGCAACAAGCAGTAGTATAATAAACAAATAGAGACTGTTATATGTAAACTAGCTTATAGATCCAAAAGGTGAAAATCTAATCACATGGAGGCAACTCAAGTGCTACTTAGAACTGTCATGCAAAGAAAAAAAGGCCAGATAGTTTGGTGAAATAGAAAAGAAACTGTTAGTAATGCAAATAAACAGAGAAATTTATAACAATTACAAAACAAATAGATACAACACTCAAGCATTAAAGATTAAATAGACAAAGCTGTCAGAAAAAAAGAATGAATTATATATAGGTTAAAGCATAACCAATGGCTCAGCAGAATAGTCAAGAAGAAGAGAAAAAAGATACTAGCAGAGCACTAGTTAATAAAGAAAGAAGAAGGAAAAACAACTACAGAAATAAGTAAATGCAGAGGTTGCAAAAACAAATCAGAACAGACAACAGTCAATTGTAAAAAATAGATAAGACATAATCATAACATAAAGGTAATTCCAAAAACAATAATCGAGAAGAGCAATAATAAGATCAATGCAATATTTGAACAGATAACAAACAATAGAACAATAGAAGATTGGAGAAAAGATGAAAAAAACTTAATAGAATTAAAACAAATAGAAGAACTAAAGATAGAGTTAATTAAAAAGCAAGAGCTAAACAATAAAATTGCAAATCACTTAATAGAAATCCTAGTAAGAAATAAAAGAAGAAACAAAAACAAATATACTTTCTATACAGATAGTGTATTATATAAAAAAAAAGCAAAAAATAGTATAGAGAAGATAGGTATCAGTTAGGTGCAACTGGGAGATGAAAAGGATTAGCCAGAA